AGGAAACAATGAAACTGCTGTCTGTGGTAATCGAGAGATTAGGTTGAAACATGCTTGAAGTCAACTGACATACAAAGTGGACAATGAAGTGACGAATGGTTTGGCTTGAGGCAGATGCAGCAGTGTGAGTGACCCAGGAGTCACCACAGCTGCAGGTGCTCACAGCTCCAGGTGATCTTGGCAGGAGCCATTAATGCCCCCCGTAAACTGTGTGATGGGAGAGCGCATGCATGTTTGCTTCTGAGAAAGAAAATATGTGGCTGAGTGAGACTTTACATAATGAAAACACAAAACATTGATCTCCATAGATGAAAGTTCACTAGCGTGTGTGTGAGTGTGAGAGCTTCGGTAGGTGTCTTTCACACTTTCATGTATACACACACACACACACATACATACACACACCCTCCCTGGAGGGAAAGGGAAACCGTGGGAGGTCAACCTGCTGATACATCGTTGATAATCTACGCAACTCTCTCACACATAAGGCTGACACATCCTCTATATGAGTTAAGTTAATAAATGACTAAAACCATCAACTCCCCATTCACTCAATAGGTCTAATTTCCATGACCTAGACAAGATAAAGCCTATTTCCCAAACAGAGCGCTCAAAATACTTCATACATTCATGAGAAACATGAGTCTATGGGCTGTTTCAGACTCTAAGAGCTGTTTCTCATGCCTTAAAGTAAGAGAATCAGGGTTTTTTTTTTAGCTGTACTGAAGTTGATCTTAGATCTATAGACTCATAACAAGCGATGAGTCGATGAATGTAGAGAAGGCAGACTGATAAGCAGTGAATTTCATCATTTCTGCTGTCTGCCACAGGATGTATGAAAAATTAAGGTGTACTTCAAATAACAAATACTCACAAAATGCATTCAAATGTAATTATACAGCTGTGTGCAAATGTTTAAACACACCTAGCCAAATTGCATTTCACATGCATATGATTTTCTAAGTGAAAATAAGTACACATCCTCCAGAGAGAACAGACTTAAATAAGACATTTTTACTTGTACTTCTTTTTACTAGTTTAACATTAAAAAAAACACAAAATATAAAATGTGCAAAGGCTTTTGCATAAAGCATATTTTATACTTTTTATGTATGTTTTTTTATGTTAAAATCATAAATAAATAGTAATTCTGCTTTAAAACATATGTTCTCTGTAGCGGATATGGACTTTGATTTGAACGTGGTGCCCAATTTTTTGCATATAACAGTATGCCATCATATTGTTTCAGATTTCCAGTACAAGTTCTAGCTGTATAGCTACAGGAATAATATGCAAGCTTTGAGCTTATGATAAAATGTACATTATGACATCTAAGGCCATATTCAGACCAGCAGGCAATTATGATGCTTTTTTACTACACATACAACACCAAGCTGATCCTTTCTTTGAAGGTTTAAACACTTTCAAACATATGCGCTCCTCCTAAGAACATTAACATAACAAGATTTGTAAAAACAGAGTTTCAAAAAACAAAAAAAGTGCATTTTCTGAAGAAAAGTGAGTGATTGCCCAGCTTAAACAGTTGCCAGATAGTTGCTAGGGGGCTGCTGAATGGTTACTACGGTATTTAAGGTGCTAAGGTGTTGATAACTGATTATTACGGTATCCCAGTTGTTTGCTAGGTGGTTGCTCTGGTATCCCAAGTGGTTGCTAGGGTGCTACTAGGTGGGTGCTATAGTATCCATGATGGTTGTTAGGGTGTTGCTAGGTTGCTACTATGGTAACCCACAGGGTTAACAGGGTGTTGCTAATGGACTTGCGTCATTTTGATATAAGCTTGGTACACAAACTTTTGCCTCCTTTCATTTCTATAAGAAAAAAAAAAATCGTCATTTAACAACGACTGTACAAAAAACATAGCCTAATCAAAAAGCTGTATACAAGCCCAAATTTCCAAACAGATCATTCCATTCCAACATTTCAGAGTCTGAATGGTGTTGATATCCTGAAAATAGGACGAGGTAGTGAAAGAAAAAAACTATACGAAGAATAACAATAGCGTTGCGCATCACTTTGCAATGCACATTTACTAATAAATGTATGTATTACAACCTGCTGTCAAAGCTGGAATACGGGACTACAGTCATCCTCTATGTTAATAAAATCAAGGAATAATTTAATATTAAATGTATCTCACTGGTGTGTTGTTACAACAAGCAGAGACTAAACGTTTAACCAATTACACATTTGTGTTCATGAGCAGGAGATTTTTTATTATGATTGATTTTGATGAAAAGTCTACATTTTGCCAGGTTTTTTTTACATTCCTTGAAAAAGCTGGAAGTGCAGAATGTAAATCCAAAGTAATACAGAATGTAAATCCAAAGTAATTATAATCAGTTGCATAACTAATGACATAACTGCATGTATAATTAAGTAATTATATTGGAATAGTATAACAAAATGACCTTCAACTCTTGACTAATAAGTATTAAAATACACAATAAATACACAAAATTTACAAAAATACACAGGAAGTTGTTGCCCTGTCTTAGTCTTTTCATAGTAAGGCTTACTTGAATCACCGTTGTATGCATAAATTTGAATAAATTTGAAGTTAACCTAAATCAAACTTAAATACAGCATTTTTCTGCTCATTTTACTGCAAAAGTTCTATTTATTTAAATTTTAAATTTTAATTTATTTAAATGAGTGTTAACTTTAGCACAGGCCACATTTTATTTTTCCCCTCCAATATGTTTAATTCAGCAAATACACAGTAAATGTGTGCTTTGAAATGTGCAGGCGTGCTCTCTGTAGAAAGTGTGTTAACTTATTTTCACTTAGAAAATCAATAAAACAAGTTTTTTGTCTATGGGCACCCAAAGTTTCGAAAATAACCACGAGTATGACAGAGAAGTGAGGTGATTGTTGCAAATTTAGTGCAAAGAAATGTTGCTAAATCCTGTAGTTTTATCATTAAAAGGCTACCAGTTCAGCAGGTTTTAACAAGCAAATCCTCTTTAAAACACATCTTTGGTGAAAATGTAATGTGCTGTTGGCAATGGCACAAGGCCTCACAGCTGCATCACTCATCAGTCATGATTGGTTGCATTGTAGGTTTAAATAAATATTCTATTCTTTGGTAGCAATCATATGCTGGGAAGTAAATCAGGCAAATGAGTTTGTGGTTCATTTCACCAGAAAAAAAAAATCAGCACTCTGAATCCACCTTCCATTTTTTCAACAAAAGACATCTTTCCAATACAATGCACATCAACATAACTAAAATCACTACTTTCGTTGGGCTATAATACTTAAACGTAATTATATAATGTATAATATTAGTAGGGATGCAGGAAAAAATCGATTCTTAAATGCATCGCGATGCAGACGTGGACGATTCTGAATTGATTCACAAATATCAAAAATCGATTTTCTAAATATTTAATTTATAACAATGTTGACGGAACGCAAAGGGCGGAACTTGGAAGTGGGTAAGTGCAGCGCCCGGACAGTCTGTGATGAGCACATAACAAGAACACAACTGGATGAGTGAGAAATCCGACCGGCTCCCTCTGCATTAAAGCCAGGTTAGATCAGGAGTCACAACACAAATGATAAGGAGAGCCATTTTGTCCTTTCAACAAAAATCAAACCACCTTGGGAGCCACAACATTTATGTCCAGTACGTCTCAGTATGTGATAATGTCCTAGTTTAACGAAAAAGCATATTTACTTTGCTCTGCTTTAGCCGCTTTTCTTCCATCTCTGCCAGAAAACTTTTCCTCAAAAGTTGAATAGTTTCTTGTAAAATGTCTCAGCGTTCCGCTGTTACGAGGCTGAAGTCGCTTCTCATTCGCCAGCTTCTTGCTCAACTTTCCCGTTCCACCTTAAATTCTGACTGAGACGCCGAATGTAAAAGCGGCACCATTTAAGGTGGAACGGGAAAATCAGAAAGAGAAGCGACTTCATCTTCGCCACTTTTTAGTTAGATTTTGACAGTCTATCGTTGCAGATTTAACGTACCAGGAAACCAACTGCTGCTTATAAATGCGAATAAGTTCGTTCGTCTCCAAATGTTCGTCTTTCTCTTTTCCTTTTTCGTTCGCTACTCGCTCGGCGAAACCTCGTTGCTACGTGACCTGCAGTCTTTCGCGCTCCCCCTCCTCTATCACGAGACCAAAACCGAAGTTATGAAATCACTAAAGAATATATAATGTGCTGCGTGGTCATCCATCACCACTGGATCTTATTTCACCGTAACAGCACATTTTATCACACGAGTGGCAGCAGCGTCTCCAAACAAGAGCAGTGAATTAGAGCCTTCCAGTTCACTTGCCACATCACTTCCATTTGTTTTATTAATAAAAGATATTGGTAAATGCATTATGGATCATTACAAATACTTTGTTTTAAAAGTACCAAGTCCTCAGACAGTAAGAAAATAGAAATCATGTATAGAAAAAAAAGATGCATCGACAATCGTTTTATAATCGCATCGCAGCCCTCTGAATCATAATCGAATCGAATCGAGAGGTGCCTAAAGATTCCCACCCCTAAATATTAGTATACATTATTATAGTGCAATTACACAATGACATCTTCAACTGTAAATTATGCAACCAATCACATTTATATCGGATTTCCGTTCAGTATCAGCAGGTTTCACTCTGCACTTCTGATCTTTTTACATTTGTCTTTATGCTGAGAATGAAAATGGCAAAAATACAAGACTCAAGACAACACACATTTTGGCCATCGTGTTTCAGAGTGGCACAATATAATACACATTTACCCATAAATATGAGCCAATCATAACATTTTTCAGTTCTATTAAAGTATAAAAGTTTCACTGATTTGCTAGCCTGTATATTTTCTCCAAACAGTGATTTCAGTATTCAAATACAGGCATCTTGAATGGTTAAGCGAGTACTTGAGTACACATGCACATCCCTAGAGTGAAGGCTTCTAGAACGTAAATCTCAGTGCATTCTCTCAATCACTAAAGCTGGTAATTCAGAAGGAATGGCTCTTACCAGGGCCTTTCTCCAGGAAGATGACCTTCGACTCAGGAAAGAAGTTGGAACCCGTGATGACCATCTCTTCTCCTCCACTCACAGGACAGCTGCTCAAACTGACCTTCTCCACCTGAGGTAATTCCAGTGCCGAGCGCTGGGCTAAACACACACGCATGCGTATATATACACATGTATGAGAGAAAGAATGTACACTCTAAGTAGAGAAAGTTCTATAAAGCAATGAAAAAATGTTATATTACTTGTAACAGCAGCAGAACTTTTTATGGTACTATGTATGTAAACATTTCTTAAAGAAATATACATAACAGGTCCTCCATTCTGGAAATTATACATTATAATAATAACACCTGGCCTAATAATAATAGATGTAATTGCAAATAGAGTAACTCATCATAACATTGTGAAGGCAACTGTAGCGTAATTATAAGAGCACAGATTAATTAGAAGCATTTTCTGAACCGCAAATAAGCTATTTAAGCATTCAAACGCTGTTTTAAAGGGGAACTCCCAAATTTCCACAAAATTCAATTGTTAAAATGTGAACAGTCATTCAGAGTGTTTTGATGTGAAATGTTTTATTGTAGAGAAACTTACCAAATCAGAAGTAGGGGTTGTGATGTCTACGATGCAATTTTAGCAAATGTGTTTTACTATCCAAAACTACCACTTAACCTCCATGTTTTACAAGTTTTTATATGTAACTCTGACAATGACAAAATAGTGGGATATCTAAAAGATCTTTAACTTTCTTTTACCTTTATTGTAAAACTATCACAAAATAGCATCTCAAGCATCAGACAGCATATTTGTAACCATTTTATGTATTAACCTTCTTTGATTTAGGTCAGTGGTTCTCAAACTGGTCATGAGAGTCTCACAGACGGTTCACAATTTTTCCTCTATCCTTGTGCTCTGAGAGTTGGGTGGGAGCAATATTTTATACATATCTTACTTTGTTTTCTCAGTTTAATATACTTCTATGTGCTCATCTGTGATGAACAGGAAAAAAACACTAATTCAGATGTTGTGTAGTGTGCTTTAACCTTGAATTTTCTCATCTGTAAAGAAAGGGTCGCTTTCTGAGACGTCTTCCAATGGCTGACTCCATGGGGGGGTCTGACTGGGCAAAACATGGTTAGGGCATGGCCGGGGTCATCACTGCTTGGCTGTGTATGACTCACAAAATGGCCAAGAGACCCCGAGATATGTTCAAGCCCGAGTCAGATACAGAACATGAAGAGACTGCTGCAGAGGCCCAACCACCAATCAGGATGCAACAGAATGTTTCTGAATGGTTCATGTTTATTGGCCTTTTTTGCTGTCCGTTTTTGCCAGTGCATACATTATTTTCAAATTTAAGGAATTAAAGGTTAAGCGTCCTGTATAGACTCGTCAGAGATGTCTGTGCTTAGACTTCTAATATATATCAGTTTTGGATCACTATTCTGTTGGAAACCTCAAGGTCAGAAACCTCAGTGCTCCAAGTTGAAACTTAGCCAAGAACTGATGTCTTCAATCGCAAAAGGGATGCATTCATCCTAGAGTGTACATCATGTTACCAGAAACCAACTAGTTGTTTACACCATGGTATTTGCTGCGAAATCACGCTGGAAAAGGCAGAAGCAGCCATGACATTATGAAAGCTGAGCTGGTGGATGTGCTTATTCTAGTCAAGGGTGAGGCACCACTTAACTGTGATGGAAAAATGGGAGAAAAATGCCTCATCATTTTTCTGGAAGGAAACATCAGAGACATCACATTTTATGATTTCTCAAAATGAATATACAATAACAAATTACATGTATGTAAACAGGCAAGGAAATGCAGGTTTCCTTTAAACTCTTTGGACATCTAGTTCCCATCACTGCTGTTGAGAAAGATTCTAAATGCCATGTTTCTCTCATTTCAAATCAAGCCACTCTGAATGAATCATTCTGATGATTTAATTCTGCAGAACTTTTGAAGAATCAGTGAAATTCCTCTTTAAGTGTGTAATGACCTTTAAAGTGTATGACTTACAGCACTCTACAGGGATAGAGGCAGCTTGTAAAGAGAGCACTTTTCCATTGGGTTGCGGGATATGCACTCGAAACACCACGCGTACACGGGTATTTTTACGCCCAATGTCCGTCTCTCCTTTCCTCAGCTCGATGTCTGAGTTTCTCAACTTCAGAATCCCAGCACAGTCAATACTGTAAAACACGACAGCAGAAAAACCTCATCAGTCAATACTAGGAAAAAAACAGGAACCACACAATTCGTTCACTCCTCAACTTCCCCCCAAACCCTGAGTCAAATATATGTAGCAGCTCATTCATCAAAGAAGAGAATAAGAATGAATTCACTATTTTAAATAACACTTTAATTTACACTTCAATGAACACTCCGTGTGGTTCACAATGAATACAGAAGCAATTCCCTTTAAGAGTGGCAAAAAAAGTTTTCACTGCTTTACTACTGAAACATTTCAGCCATTATTTTATAGGCTGCAATACTCAATAGCAATTTCATTAAAGTTAAAATAACTGATCATCTAGGTTTTATGATTTGCATATGTTGGTTGTAAAACCATGGAGAATTGAATCATGGTTTTGCTTAGTCAGAAGCCCACACATTTTCCTTGGAATCAAACTTGCTGTTGGTTCCAATTAAACATCAGCCACAGTGGAAGACATTACAGTGCTCCTTGAATCTGAATTTAACAGAGTGTTCAAGTGCGTGTGTGAAGTAGTACGGGATTCCAAGTAATGTAAAAGAGAAACAGATCTGACATTACCTGGCAGACATGTTGTTTTCCGGAAGAAGTGGAATCTCCAGAACCTTGGTGCTAGCGATTATGATTTCCTGGCTGGCCGTAGCCACCGTTTTCCCTGTGATGCGGTGGACCTGATAGAAAGCATGTGGCCTCAAATAGCGATCATCTGCCGTGCCGATGAACATCTGCAGGTTTATGGGCTTCTCATTGTAGCCAATGAGCTAAGAGGGGAAAAAAAAATGAAAAATTAAAGAAAGAAAAGGGGAGCTTTTATGTTATTGCAACGTATAGAACTGTACAAAAGTCAGACACCACCTTTTATTTATTTAATTTCGAGTCTAAACAACTATACAAGTTATTCATTTATTAGCGTGTATCAAATATCACATTTTGTAATTAGAGTGTCCACTCTTTTATTACAGCTTCCATTCTTTTCAGGAAACCTTCTCTTAGATTTTCAAAGAAATATCTGCAAAGATATTTTATCAAGTCACACCTCCACAGTTCAGTCTCAGAAGCTGGTTGCATGTTCTGCTTCTCATGATCCAAGTAATCTTAAATACATTCAGTGATGTTGAGGTCTGGACTCTGGGGTGGACAGTCGATTGTTCTGAAAACACCAGCAGCTTCTTTGTTCTATTTGCATATTTTTCTTCTTTTTTGTCTATTTCCTTTTCTTAGTAACAGCTTCTTGACAGCTACACATCCTTTCTGACTCATAGCATCGAGTTGTCTTCTCACAGTGGAAGGATGGACAGAAACACCTGTGGATTTTTTTCAGATCAGAAGCAAGAGAGGAGCTTAATTTTCTCCCTTCTTCTGAAACATGAATAACCTCTACTCAATGGCTGTTTAGACTAGAAATTACATGTATGAAGGGTTTGTCTCTGACATTTGCACAGTAATGTACATAATCAAAAGAGTTAAACACTTAATTTGCTTCACAATTAACATGAAGTATTTTTTCCTGCATCAGTCCAACTGGGAGCTGTCAAGTTAAATCTCCTGTTCTGGAAGCTTTGGTGGGGGTTCATCTGGAAACCAAAGCACTATTACCTCTGGTACTTGTCTGTTTCAACATCACATTTTCCTTGTTCACATCCTGCACTAAAGTCCCACTCAGTTGCACACAGTCATTTTTCTCAAACCTTGATCTGAATGTTCCAAGACCTATCCAAAGCAGATCTTAGCTGCCAATAAGACTGACACACTGAATACACGGTTGCAAAAGTGAATATGAATGGCTCGAACATATCTTAGGAAAATGACACAGGAGAAAAGAGAGATGTATTGATCTCGCTATAGTAAAACAGACACAACAAAAGGAGTCATATCTGCCACAGCAAGTCATATTTAGTGCTTCACTCTACAAGGTTTGAATCTTATGGGATTTACTGGATGGAGAGCCACGCTTGGGTCCAGTACATTTCTCTGCCAGCACAGATACTCATTATTGCTTATCAGGCTGCTGGGATGCCAAGCCAGCAAGGCTGGGCAATATAGCAAACATATACTTGATACATTTTCTCAATACATGATATATATGATGACATTTGGAGCTTTGCAGACAAGTTCGAATGGACATGGAAGGCTATAAAAAAACTAAATATAACTATTTAAGAAATAACAGAGGACAAAATCACAGAATAAGAATAAATAAATAAATAAAATGAGATATTGGAATAACGGGCTGATATCCAATTAGCTAGCTCTACTATGCAGTTTATGCAGTTCCTGTATACTGGTTGTTGGGTAATACTTTATTTGAAAGCTACCTACATAGGAATATTTGAATATTATGAATATTTATGTCAGTAATCCCAAGATGATATAAGATTGCTATGAAGTAAATGACACTGTATTGATATAAAGGGCCTTTAATTAAGTGATGCACATTTGTTTAATGTATAACACTGTTATAAAGCATCATTCCCAAGACAAACGCTTAGTTAAAAACTATATAAATGAGCTCGATAGAAGATTCTGATGGCCTCAAGCTTAAACGGTACTTATCACACATATATTCATTACATGCATTCATTCCACAAAAAATGCTGGTCAAACCACATCTTTATGGAGCTCGCTTTGTCCACAGGGGCACAGTCATGCAGGTACAGGTAAGAGTCCTCCCTAAACTGTTGTGACAAAGTTGGAAGCATATGATTGTCTAAAATATTTTTGTATGTTGTAACATTAACATTACTCTTTCCCATTCTCCTGCTATCTGCCAAACCCATCCATCAGATTCGTCCATCAGACTGCAAGATAGTTAGCATGATAGCATGACTCATCATTCTAGCGAACACGTTTCCACTGCTCCAGTGTGTGTGTGTGTGTGTGTGTGTGTGTGCACCAGGGACAAAAACACACATTCTGTATTTACTGGAATATGTAAATGTAGGATAGCAAGCCTTGCCCAAAGAGAAGGAAAGAGAGAGACATGGGGAGAAAGGGAGGGGGGGGGAGAGAGAGAGAGAGAGAGACATGGAGAGAGAGAGAGACATGCAGCTTCAGTTACAGCTGCACAATTACAATTTCATTATTACTACTACTACACTGGCCTTAGTGATACTGATTGCTTTATTGAATGCTATGAGCATTTTGTCTGTGAGTGGGTGAATTATAGCATTCACACGATGCAACAAACACAAATGATTTGGGCCAAAATAATGCAGGCCAGTGTATAATCATGTTAAATCAAAGGTTTACCAATGTGTTTTTACAGACTCACTTCTGATTACTGTCTTTGGGTTTATACTCCCTAAGGTCTGTTTATCACATTTGTCTAGTTTTATGTCCCCAAAATGTCATTATTTATTTTTAGATGACCATTTTCCAACCTGACTTCATCTCTTCAAACAGGAGTCTTCAACTAAAATAATCTAGGGGCCACAAGCCAGGTGGTCTAACTCCAAGAGGGGCTGGATGAAAAAATGTAGACTAAAAAAAAAATTTCTGTATTGTAACTACATGAACTTTTTCAATGTTTTACCTAAAGTTGCAAACTGTAACTATAGGCTTTAGTTTAAATAGGAAGGAAACATTAGTATGAGCTGATTCTACATAGCTTGAGTAAGGTAACCATCCACAGTGTCTGGTGGGTGAAGCAAATCTACCTGTCAGATGTTAATATTCAGCTGCAGAAAAAAATAATAATAATTTGTGAGCCAGATTTAAGGATAAATTGTAAAAATGTGATGGGCTATACTAAGCTGACTTTAGGATCCTTGCCTTAGAATTGCACAGGCCGTTTTGTTGCTATGGCTTTAAGACTGAAATATGTAAATGTCCTCTGTTCTGACTGGCTGCTCTGTATTGTGCCTCATTCAAAAAGCAGTCCAACAGTTTAGCCTCACCCATAACTTCATTGTGAATGGGCGGAGCTAAACTGCTGTGGGCTGAATAGCTGAATGTATGCAAATAATTTGATGTCACAAAAACAATAAATTCATGTCAGGGTTGTTTTTTTGCAGTTTTGCATCCACCTAAGGGCTGTATATCCTGGGGAATAAATAGCATATTTTGAATTTTTTAACAGAGGAAAATATTAATATTTGACAAAGTATATCACAAATAATTATTTTCCATTATTTTCCCGTCCAGACTTGTTTTGTTTTGTTTTTTTTTTTCTAGGCTGACCAGCATAATAATCCTTTTGGCTTAAGGCTTGAACACTTGAACTTAGTGTACCAGACACTCAGTTACCTGATGCTCTGTTGTCATGTACACATCATGAAGGTGTTTGGTTTCTTCTTATAGATTTAACTCATCTACAGACAGTTCGCAAGGTTCAACCTACCCACGTAGAACTTGTTTGTAATGATAAAGGCTATAATTAACATTGCATTCTTTCAAACTGTGATACAGATATAAAAATGACATTCAACCTATAATGACAATATGTACAGCAGGGTCCAACATTCTGAGATCATTACTGAAAATGCTTCTATTTTGCATTCATTCCTATTCATTACAAGGTTCCTCATTACAAATGACATTACCAGCAAAACACTGAAAAGCAGAATCTTTGAAATATTTATCTGAATGTCAGTATTTGGTACCGTATGTCCCCGTTTTGCGAGCACTCAAACTGGACTCCATGAGTTTGTGCAAAAGCATCTGATGAGAAGATCAGAATCAGAGTAGTCTGAAGAATGTTTCAACATGGCTCGGAAGTGGGAAGTTGGAGCTTGTAACTGTGTTATTTTCAACTTCTTTTGAAATTCTGTTGAATTTGAGACACAAAGCGGGAAAAACCTGAAATGAAAGCATCAGCCAGCTGCTGTTAGTGACATGAGTGAAAACTTTAACGTTCATGATGTATTTACCCTCTCAAAACTGTGAACTTTATGGCCAATGTTATAGTTGAACCAGCTACTGTGTCTGTGTGTTAACTGATCTAAGCCAAGTGTCATTTAAAACACAATTCTTTATTATGATTGAAGGTGTGAGCAGTCATATGCCGACGTGGGAGCTGAGAACATCATGCTGACTTTTTGAGAAGGAATTCCCAGTTGAGGGGCATTTTGTTTGATTTCTCTGCAGCATAAGAAAGAAAACCAGACCTTTTTGTACAAAAGCCTTAACACAGTCAATATCAGAAATTGGCTTGAATATCTTGAATATTTCTTCATTTTACTTGTCATACTTTTTCTTTCATTTATTTTTTTTAATGCTGCAACATTCTGTTTATTTCAAAGTTTAAATAAATAATAAAAAAAAATGTGGTCTCAGACTTATGAACCCAACTATGTCTTGCTCAGATGCGCATGCAGGTTGAGGGCTGAGACCAGCGGGCAGAAGGGTCAGCGAGTGAAAACAAACGGAGCTGCTGTAAAGCGCAATGGTGTTTGCAGGGCACTGAGGTGAGGGCTGAAAACACAGAGAGCTTTTTGTTGGATCTATTAGGTCTAACTGCGCTACAGGCTGCTGGGTAATGGGGCAGCCTGGAGCAGGGGGTATGTCTGAGCTCAGAGGCCTACAGAGAGGCAGGGGGCCGCAAACCACATGATCCCTGACCCCCCCTCCACTAGCGAAGTGCAAGAGTGTGCGTTTGGGGGATCTGATTTTATTTCAGTTGAGGGACACTTGCTCACAGTAACCGACTCTCCGCGCCAATTAATCTTCATGCTGTGTACTGTGTGTGTGAGTGAGAGAGATGAAAAAAAGAGAGACTGAGCAAATAAACAAGCTTATGGTGCATGAAACTGGCTGTCAGGTT